TACAATGGGAATGGGAAAAGTAAGGACAGTACCTTGAATAGGATCAGACAATTGCTGCATTCAAATAAACAGGCCTACCACATGCCTTTACTTTAGAAGACCCTGAAAATTTACATTTTCTGCATGAAAACTAGTAAAACCAAAAAGTTACAAAAGTATCAGTAAAAAATTCTATAAATAACAAGGATTGAACATGGTCTTGTCTAGTCACTGAAACCTTCAGAGATCTGTATTTGATGAAAAATACGTAAATGCAAAGCACTTAAAATACATTTGAACCAATGTACCCCACCTTATACTTAAATTTTGATATTAAAAACCCAGTGCATTAAGATGCTTCAGCTTAAATTAAACAGCTTAGAGATTGTAGCTTGTGACTGACTTAGGCTAATCAAAATCTATGCAAATACAACTACACCTTTTGGTGTCTGCCCTTTCTCCATCACCTAGTACAACTGCTAGCACTTGCATCTATGGACAGGTGTAGAAAATACAAGTAAAATTCACCTGAGCTGGCTGGTTGAGCCGTATAAGCATGTTGCTGCATCTTAGCGGATAATACTGCCTACAGTGTCCTCCCCAAGTTGCCTTCCACACTTTGGTTGCTGTATATTTGCCTGCCTCAGAAGTCAACATACATAGCTTATATTTGCATGTATCAGAAAAATTTGTCAGTTTGGCAAACAAAAAAGAAGAGACTACTCTTTGCTATCCATAAGTAAACTACAGGGATAAATGACAGGAAAGGAAGGAACTACCAAAGGACAAAGAAATGTCCTATAAATATTACCTATAAATATGGGCTGAAAATAGGGAAGCTTCTGCAATTGGCTTTCAGGTAGGAGCCTTGTGTTTAAGATGGACAATCGGGAGAGGCAAATGCATTTTGGACTTGGTAAATTTTCTAGAACAGCTTTGTAAGGCTAACCTAAACCTTCTGGCTTTTGCCTATGATAGATCATCAGGCATGTGTCAAAACCTGCAAATTTCCATATTTTATCAAAGCTATGAAAGCTCAAGAACGAATCCACATTTACCTATCTTTTGGCACTTGGGTGTGCCTGTGACGAGATCAGTTTTCTTAAACTTCACTACAGTCAATCCAGTCAATGTGGCAACAGAGGTCATTCCAGAGCACAGATCAGAAGTAATTTAAGTGCTCTCATTTGCTGAAGGAGCTTCTGATATCAGAAACTAATATCACATGCCTAATGGTAGGTAATATGATTACATGCCTAAGTGACAATATCAAATAAAATGATAAAGATCCCCTCCCTATAAATAATGCATTACATTTTTCTCTATAAGGCGTATTGTTTAGTTAGAGACTGCTGGGACAGTAGGACTACAAATGAATAGCAAAAGTATAAATCAGTGGTTTGGAAAAATACATCACGTTCAAGCCTCAAGAGCAGGGCAACCTTTAAAGAGTTGTGGTTAGAGCAGGTATAACGACACCCAGTGTTGTACCTATGTCCCCCTCTGTGACTCTGACCCCAGCTCACAACTGTCTATTAAGACTGGTCTCTTGAATGCCTATGCTCAGTTTACCCCCCTGAGTGGAGGCACATCTGAGACTTTCCACCCCAAACTCCTTTGTAGTTGAGGAAAAATAATACCCCGTACCCTGTCATCCCCACAGCCTTCTCTGAAGTTCTCCATCTTTCTGTACTCACTGACTTAACATGTCAAGAAAATAAAATATTCCTTTAAAAAATCTGTTAATTCATTCATGAAGACATGTATTATTTACAAGTCACACATTTGAGTAGATAGTTTTCAAGACTATTATTCATTTCTAGGCTGGTATAACTAGTCCTGGTCAATTTATATTCTATGCTGCTTTCTTGCTTAATTAGCTCTTCTTGTTTTGGATGCTTGCCCTTCTATATTGTTGTAGCTAAGAAAAATACGCTTTTCTCCCTCTCTTTGCAAACTGTGTAAGCCAAGGTCACCAGTAAGCTGCCCATTGCTTTTATCTCAATGATACTCTCCTGAACACAGTTTCAGTAGGTCAGAAAGTACCTAGTGATAATCAGCAGGAGCTGATTCTATGTTCTTTCTTGTCTACCTTTTAGATTATTTTAGGTTCTACCTAGAGTCACAGAAATTATTAATTTCTACCAATGAAAACTCCAAACAATTAATTGATAAGGATTTCCAATATTAATTGATTTTTTTTTTTGTTATTGTTTTAGGGTTGTCAGTGAGACATGATCAGTGAAACTAGATTCAGCAGGGCCATACTTCTAATATAAATGCCATTTCACTTTTTCCTTTTCTCTTTCACACAGAGGTTTACCCTTCAGCTTCTTAGACATAAATAAACCCTGCACTGAAATGCAGACTCAGTATGGATACCATCTTGCACCTATGTACATTTTGCTGTAAAAGTTTTATTCCAAAGCAGGTGACAAATACCAGCACTGCAGTCAGGGTGCCAAATGGAATTACCTTACCCAGTCCAGTCACCAGATTCCTTGAAAATTATGAACCACCATCTTGTCTGATGGACAACTGACTTGTTCTCCTCCGAGCAAGCATTGTGTTAGGGACAGATGATTCCCCATGTGCCTCAGCCTGGTCACTGCAGCACAGCAGCTACTCCTGGCTCTTTGATCTGGAGCAATGGGGTGGCTATCACAACTCTACTGCCACCTGTCCAGGTGGCCAGAGGAGCAGAAATGACAGAGGTTCCCCTGACATAAGGCGGAATTGAAAATATTGAAACCTCCTTTCCAGGGTGGAGACTGTTCCATTATAGCTAACACCACTCTGGTGAACAGAGAAGCAGCTCACTGACAGCACTGTTGTACTGCTCCACGCTCTGCTATCCATGGGTTGTTTTCCTGCTGGTTCATCTGTACAATTTCAAGCTAGGCCTAAAGCTCCCATGCATGATCAAGCCCGTTGAGGCTTTCTGTGAAGCAAGGCTCTCAAGCTTAGGAGAACATACCACTTTAAAATCAGCTTTTATCTTAGCTTGTTGACTTTTACACATAAACACAAGGTTTTTCAAGAGGCATCCCTCTGAAAAGCTCTGAAACAGAAATCTCCACACAGGAGAATTACAGGTCTCATCATGTATATATACAAACTTGCACATACAGGTTTTCTTCTAACCAAAGGAGGAAAGTGACTATGAATATGCAACATTTTGAAACATTCCTTGCAATGTTATCTAAGTTTTTGAAAGGGATGAGGGGATGAATGGCACAGAAACAGAATATTATGTACATTAAGCAAAAAAGATCTGAAATCTCCTGTGTCTCTTACCTGTTGATATTGTAGAAGAAATATATTGATTTAAACCTGCTTTCAGGTAAATAAAATTTGGAACAGCTTCTCAAAAAAGATCAGAGCAATCCTTCAGCATGTAAAAAGCTTAGGCACAATGACAAGGGGTTATTCCTTTGATTATAGCTTATCCTTCATATCAGTTAATATTCATAGATACTAAATGTTCAGTCTGTTCTTTATAGCTTTAATTCAATCATGTAACGTTCCTTTAACTATTTTATTTATGTGTATTCTTCTAGTCCAAGGCTTTTGTCACCGTGTTCATCTCACTAAATATGTGTACTTCCACTCAGTAAATATGGGTACTTTCAAAAATTATGCCTCAGTTTAGCAACAGATGCTTCTTAAAATATTTAGAATTTTAAAGTGTAAAGAAGCCATCAGTAGCATTCTGATTTGTGTATAAATATTTATTTAGCACACATTCTGGCCAATGTACTGCCCTTGATTTTTGTGCAAAACTTACAGTAACTTCAATGGATATTCTCAGCTCATGACTCGAGAAAAATATGGTTAATTCAGCAACCCAGATGCTTTGATATCCCAGAATAGCAGCAGTGCATCTAGTGAAGGGAATGCTGAAATAGGAGACTTTGTGTCATTCTGAGCTTTCTGTTGCTGGGCTCACATTTGGGTAACAGCTCAAGTCAGAGCAGACTCTGGGCTATTCTAATTCTTTTCAGAGAATTTTAGCTAGGTTCCTACCAACTGAGGCAGAACCACAGTTAGAATTTAAGAGACCAATGGCCAGAAAAGGTCTAGAAATATTTGCTAGAAATCCTATGAGAGGCTTTTATGTGATAAAGTTTCTATGTGGAAAAAAATTAATACGAAATAAATCTGTTTGATGGAGGAACATGGGGCCTTCATCACTGAAATGAGATTATAAGGCAAATAATTTCCTTTCTGCTAGTGCTGGCATGAGAAGTGTTATAGAAATTTGGGTCTATTTGCAGCATCATTGTAAAAGTAGATCCTTGATCACATATCTTTCCTCACAATAAAGAAAAAAAAAAACCAGATTGCAGACAAAACTGAAGTGTATCTAATATGCAGCATAAAATTAATCGGAGGCAGAGCAATTCTAAGATGCTGAGAGCTAGCTCCAGTCTCCTAAAGCTTTCATCCTTGCTTTTCTCCATATTTTCTAGGTTTTTGGTAGACATTTCCATTAGCATGTCAGGATTTTAAGAGAGGATAAAATGGCAATAAAACAGAATACCTACTGAAGACAGCAAAGTCACAATGGTGTAATACTGAAAAATAATTTAATGACTTTTAATAATTCCTCTTACTGAAAAAAACCCCTTCTACTATGATATAAACTACAATAATATACAACAAATCATTTTAGCTTATTGGCAAATGGACATTTTTCCTCCACTAATTGCACTAGCATCAGACATGCTATTCAACGCCTGAGGGAATTCTCACAAAGATATTCTCACTACCCAAGTACCTGCTATTATTAAGACCCAGAGTCTAAATATGAGATAAAGTGCACTGCGGCAAATAAGGTTGCCAAAATACTAATCCAAGGTTGCTCTCAGTGTCATGAAAAAATCCTAACATGTTTTGATCTTAAAAATTATCCTCAAATTGCCTGGTGCATTTGAGGTGTCTAGATGGCTTAGCAGATTTCTACTTAATTTAGTAGGCCTATATTGTCACTAACAGGAATCTCTCTGATGTATTTTCAGGATCATGTGAGAATCAAAATAAAGTGGAAACTGAGGAAATCATCTGATTTTCTGTAGCTCAGCCAGCTCCTTTTGCAAACACATACTTAAGGATTAAAATTTATACCCTAAAAAAATGCACAAATAAAATAATGCAAATTTGTATGCCAGAAAGATAATGTTTTCCTTTATGTCAATAGAATACGAGTGCAGTGCATTAGCAGTACAAATGGGAGACACCATGCTTAGGAACAGTTTTTTACTTTTTCATATAGCAGTGGCCACGTAATTCTGTTTCCCTTCCTTCACTTTGTCAGCAAGGGACATTCAAGTGCCATGGGCAAAGCTGGACAGTCACCATATCCATATGCTCTTACTACCCTACACACCCAGATGACTTTCAGTGGAGAATGACAGGCCACAGTCTACATCATCACCGGTCAGCTTCTTGCATCTTCATGCACTCACATCCTCAGGCACTATTTTGCATGCCAAGGCAGCACACGTGCAACCACCACTTCCATGACTCTTGGACTAGAAGTCACATATGGGATTTCACAGATCCATACAGTTCAGCACCAGGGACACTGGAAGGATTCCAGTGATGAGGAAACATTTCAGCAACATATCCAAATCATGTCAGATGCATAACGGAATCAAATCACACATTAGGATATCCTGGAAGCAGACAGGAACTGGAATGGCAGAGAACAGAAGTAAACAGCATTCAGAGACCTGTGATAACTCAGGACAGATATAATGACACTTTTATGTTAGAACAATAGTTTCTGAACAGGGATATGATCACTTATGAGTGATTTTGTTGGCATAAGACTGATTTCTCCTTCATTTGCACGGACTTTGAATATTCACCTTTTTAACAGATGCTAAAAAAATGCCGTTTAAAAGCTGCTTGACAGAACTAGTCATTACATGAAAAAGTACAAAAGTACAGTTAATTTGCTTAACCTGGATAAAGTACATTACGTGAGAGCATAGTCACTTTTGTAATTTCAATTTTCCTTATGATAACTGCNCATCCACAGCCATCAGACCATAAAACTAGGCTATTAAGTTAGAACTTGCACTTTAAAAATCCACAAAACCTTGCACTAGAAATATGAACCGTGACCACTTTAGTTATTTAGGAGATCTAGGCATTTTCAACATTATTACAAGGGGCCATTAGACAGGCTGAATCCATAGTCTTTATTGATTTAAGAGTCATTCAGCTGTACTTAGAAAAGTGTTACTCAAATGAGCTACTATTGCAAGATTATGACTTTTAGAGTTTTACATTTACACTAGAAGGCAGCCAGGAAAACTAAACATTAGATCCAGCCTAAGGTCTCATTAACTTCAATTAAGTTTCTTTTGTGTCTATCTTCAATTTGCCTAACTTTTCTTGTTGGCTCTGGGTGAAATAGTTAGAGCAGATCACAGCCAAAGGAGAAACCCAGCACTCAATGAGAAGCAGCTACAAAAGTGATTAAACAGTTTTTCTGTGGTTTATCATTGTTTTTTTTTCCTTTTTGAATTTTTCTGTAGACATATATAGGAACACATATATGTAAGTTTTGATTTTCTGCCAACATTGTGTGGGGGTACAACTGCCACCCCATTGGTCAAATCCAGGAGAAAGTTTGGCAAGGGAGTGCCCTCTGAACCTTGTGAAGACCCTCAACTGGAGGGTCTCCCTTATTCCTTTTATCCTTACTCTTTCCCATCCTTACCCTTTTTCCATCCCCAGCCTCCACACAGATCATTTTAGGTTGATTTTAGTTGCAAATTGATTTATTTTAGATTTTAGTCTGATTTTTCTCCATGTGCTTTAACCATCTAATAAGTAGTAGAGTGAACCTTGTCAACCAATTTTGTCGTGCCTTCACTTTTACATTAAACCTGCTTTTAAAGATACCTTTGCCAGTGATTCTTTGAGCAACCTAAAACACTCATTTGTGACACATTGCAATGACAGTGCAGCACAAACATTTTAAAAACATCCATAGCCACATTTCCTAGGTAGAAAATGGATAATGTGATCAGTTAGTATGGCAGTCCCAGTGAATTTTACTGTTAACTGCAAAGGACACAGGATTTCAACTTCAGACTCTTAGAAATGATTTTACCCCTTTCTAGCTAATGTCTGCAATTAACCCCTTAAATCATGAATTTATACTGACACAAAACTTTTCATAAAGGGATAGAGAGCCAGATAAACAGAGTGGCTCTTACTGCCCTTCTGAAATCCAAGCCCAAAGATTTCATTGCTTTGCAAATTAATCAGATAGTAACACTTTGCACAAATGTCTATTCATCCCTCAAAAGTATCTTTCTGTATTACCTCCCCTTCATTTACTGATATTTTCAAAACAAAAAAGTGTTCTCTAAACATTACTCTCAAACATAGCATTTTTAAATGACTGTAACTCCTTAAGAAAGATCTCATTATGTTTAAACATATTTATACTTCATAATAAAAAATATCTGAAATAAAAGCTATTGTTCTAACATACAAAGTTAGTTATTTTGATATGCAGTTTTTTCTGCATAATGAATGTTAAGTAGTTTCAAAACTCTAGTTTGAAAAAAAAGCATACAATAAAAGTACAATATAAATAGTTTATTACAGGTATTTTAAAAGAGCTCAGCAATATCCTTTCAAAACATTTTATACAGTGTTCTTTCAATATGAAACAATTCACGTAGGGAGAAAAAAATCTCAATATATAACTATGGTAATTATTAATATACTGAATTTGTCTGTCACACAAAAATCATAGTAACTACAGACTGTTTCTGAGTATTTTTCCTGGTTTTATTTTCTCTGAAAATGGAAAAGAATAACATGTATGAAAATAAAAACGCCCTTTACCCTTCACTTCATATTCACGAAATACTACAAAGCTCACACCACTTCAAAAATAAAAAAAAAATCAAACCCATTTTAGTTAAATAAATATGGATCTATTTAAATAGAGAATGTCATGTATCTTACAGATACTAATTTAGAAATAGGATTAAAACTTCAGGTTTCAACTACTGAAAATTGTATAACAAACAAGGTATCCTAAAAGGTAGTTTCTTCAGGGGAAAATAAAAAAGAAACAAACTTCATTCTTGTTCATAATGTATAAAGCTCCACTGCACTTACACTTCTTGCCAGCCTCTTCAGCACAAAGGACAAAGCCATCTAATTACCAGAAAGTATAGCTACAGATTCTATTAATACAAAATCAGAATTACTTAATTTCAGCTAAAAGTAATTTTCAGTCTCTTATATTTAATATAATGAGAACATGACTTCCTGGCAAAACTGCTTGTCTGAGTTATTATCACATCTTGGAGAACACTTCTTTTACTGGTTCAACATGTATGATAGAAGGAAAGGAGACTAGAACAGATAGTAAGCACGTTTGTAAAGTTAATGATAATTTCTTGTCCACTTCTCTTACATAAAAATAGTTCAGTAATATACGAATTGGCCAAAAGAGCTAGAGAAGGCGAGGGATACACAAGGAAGTGGAGTTAATCAAGTAGTGAAATGGATTGATTATAAATCCTAACATTTTAGCACTGTCTCCTTATATTTTATATAAAAAGGGTAATAATCTAATTTCTCATCTCCAAGATGAGGAATAGATCTCCAAGCACATTAAAAAGCCTTTTTTTCTATTCTGTAGAAAACAGAATGTTCTGTAATGCCACATCAACATTTTTCTCATTAAACCTCACGTTTTTCTCATTTTCTCATTTCTCCCCTTTTGTACTTTCTTCCTTTTTTGTATCTTTTTTCTAAAAATATCCATTTTTTAAAAATATGAAACAAATACAGCAAGTGTCCTTTGCTTGCAACATATAGGGAGCCAGAAGAAAGTAAAGGGACCATTTTTTCTATATTGTGGCAATTACCTTGTCTTTACTTTTCTGGTAGTTGTCATTGAACATAAAATACTACACAGAAAAAGGTAAAACTTTTAAAATATCTGATTCATGGAGCACTGCAGATTACTGCAACACTATTAATACAGTAAGAATGTTATTTATAAATTAATTTAGCCAAAGGAATGCAGAGTAGTTTTTTTGCATTTTTTAAAACATTTCAACATTCATATCTCACAAATTATAACAAGGAGACAGTTCTGAAGACAGCATATTAACTCTTCACCAGCTCATCCGTGTAACAGAAAAATATAATCCTCTTTAGTTAATTGTTTGGTCTAACATAAGTATTTTAATAATTATGCAACCAAATTTTAAATCTATGATTTCATAGGACATTATCCAGTTTTGATAAAAACAACATATTCTCCTGTTGCTCAGTGAAGCTAAGCTTTAAGCTCTTTAAAGTGAATAAGGTGGTGTCTTTTCAAATGTGGAGTCTGTCTGAATTTTTTTCCACAAACTAAACACTGAAAAGGTTTCTGTCCAGCATGCATTAGGTAATGTCTTTCAAGCTTAGAAGGAGATTTAAAAGTTTTAAAGCAGATACTGCATTGATACAATTTGTTAACAGCTTCACTTTTCTCAGTACCTTCAGAAAAATTATGCCAATAACTGTAACAGCTTTGCTCTGTTTCCAACAATTTACTACACAAATACAGCTGTGGGTTTCTACTGCTGGTGTCAAGCACAAAATTCCCCGACTCGATTTCAACTTTGATTTCAGCTGCTTGGTTTGACTGAATCAGCTCAAATTCTTGAAAGCCAGATGGCTGTGAAGGTGTTTGAGAATAACCCACAGGCTGAGAAGACTTAAATTCAATGCGATCTCCCTGATGATTGAAAAGTTTGTTCAGGTTTTCAAATTCTACCTGGCAAATGGGGCTTTTACAGGGTCTCTTTTCAGTATGGGTGAGGTGATGTCTTTTTAAGTGAGCTAATTGTCTAAATGTCTTCCCACAAACATTACAGCCAAAGGGCTTCTGTCCCGTGTGTATAAGATAATGTCTTTGAAGTTTGGATGAAGATGGAAAAATTTTTTCACATCTGTCACATTGACACACTTTGTGTCTGTTATGTATATTTTTAGCAGAAGCTGAAAAAGCACAGTGACGTACTTCTGGATTATCAAAGAAGTTATCATTTGATGAACCATAAAAAGCATCATCTTTATTACCCGGTGAATCATCAACGTTTAACATGCTTTCATCAGTGAGCACACCTTTTAAATTAACACCCAAGTTGTGAGGTTGCAGGTACTCTTGCCAAGGTAGTGGCACAGTCAACGTTCTTTTCATCTGATTACTAAGTGCCTTATGCATGTCAAGGTTGCTGTGGCAATCCTTGGAAGGTTTAGTGGAGGCATGCTGATCAGAACACTGATCTCTAGCTGCAACCAGGTCAGGATTTCTAACATGACCTGATTTGGGTTTTTTTCTGTCAGTCAGAGAAAAATCTGTTGCCTTTGCTCCAGTACGCTTCAGTTTCATCAGGATCTTATTTTTCATGTTGACTGTGTGTCTGCAAGCTGTTGTACCATTATTTGAACTTCTGCTGTCTCTTGGACAACAACATTTGTGCAAATTTAGAACATGCTCTGTTTCAAAACACTGCTCACATGCTGGGCATTCAAAGGGTACAATATAAATTGAGTGAACATCATGTGGGTCATTCTCCTGTGACTCATGTGTGTCAGCATTCTTGAAACTATCCCTCTTCCCTTCCATCAGGCTGTGTGGTCTGGGATACTTAAGAGCCTTTGCTTTGCATGCAGTACTGGGGAAAGTCTTATTTCTGGCATGGAGCTGTTTATGCTTCACAAGTTTGCTCTGTATTTTAAATCCCTTCTGACAAAAACAGCACTGAAAAGGCCTTTCTTCTGTGTGTGTGAGCTGATGAATTTTCAAGTGTGTTGACTGTCTGAAAGATTTGCCACATGAAGAACACTTAAAAGGTTTCTGTCCAGTGTGAATAAGGAAGTGTCTTTCTAGCTTGGATCTTGATGGAAATGTCTTGTTACATGATTCACAAGTGTGAGTTTTCTTTCTCTTTCTGGCACCATGTAGATGATCTGACTTCAGACACTGATGCAGCATCCACTTCTCTTCAGTTTTAAAAGGTTTCCAGCATACAGAACACTGAAATATGCCACAAGTGACCCTGCCTTGCTCAGAATTCATGGAGTTTTCTGCTTGTTTTGTATCATTCTCATAATTTTCACTATGAAGCTGCTGATGCTTTAAGAAAGTTATTACATTTTTGAAGTTTCTATAACAAACAATACACTTAAAAGGCAGATTATGGGTTAACTGATGCCTCTCCAGGTGGACTAGCTGCCTAAATGTTTTATTGCATACATGACATTTAAATGGCTTTTGACCAGTATGTATGAGATAATGCCTAGCTAATTTTGATGGAGTTTCAAACTGTTTATAGCACATGTCACAAATATATGGCTTTTTCTTGGGTATCTTGACAGCTGTTACACACTGCTGAACTTTTAACATTTTTAAAGGGCAATTACACCTTGCCTACTGTTAGTTTCTTCAGATAGGTGCCTCAAGTGAAATCATCAATTGCACACTAAGATGGAAGGCTGTAGAAGCAGCGAATTTTCTTAGGAGAGATATTCTTAAATCTCACAGGTCCCTAAAACAAGAAAGAGAGTATTATTTAGCTTATATTAATATATGATTGCTGAGTTTGTCTCTTGTTTTCTACATAAGAGACCAAAAGTACCTAGATTAGAATACTCTTGATTTAACTTGGCTTAAAATACTTTCCTTGTAACAGAGTAATCACTTGTTATGTCACATGGTACAGAAAAACTATACTACTTTCTTTCAAATGGCAAATGCTGGAGCCAGTCAGGAAGAGCAACACACTAGCCATCAACTACAACCAGAAAAACACAACCCCCAGAACATGGAAAAACCACAAGCTATGTTCACTATCTCACTATAAAGCAAGAGTATCAGAGTTGTGATACCGAACCATTCATATACTGTGAAGTCATGAATACAAAGGTAGTTACCATAATTTGTCATAATTACTGTTTTAGTCTAAACCACAGTAATGAAATAGTATTAATTTTCCTTGGATTTTCAACAGATGGAACACAGTTGGGCAAGCTACTGTGTCTCAGCTGAGGCTCAATGACTTATAAAAAAGAAACAATACCTTTGCAAATTCCTGAGTGTAGAAGAGTTATTAAAATATTCATAGGAACAGCCAGAAAGCACTTCAGGCAAACATTTAGCCCAAGCCTTCCACTATGAGGCCAACTCATGTCTAAGATCACTCCAAAGTGGCCCTAACAACTTCCACTGAGGGAGGTTCCAAAATCTCAGCAAGGCTCCTGCTCCAGTGTTTCACCTTCATAGGAAGCTTTTCCTTGCACTCAGTGGAGCCTTTCTTTACTACAAAGTTATTTTCATTGTTCTCTGTCACAATTTTATGTATTCAAAGTCTGAATTATCTCCTTTTCTATAAACTAGGAAAATTCTGGGGTTTTCTAAGTATTGCTTTTAGGTCCACCAAGAAAAAAAAAAAAATTGGTCTTTTAAGTCATCTCTGGACTGATTTCAATTGGTCACATCAATCCCAAATTGAAGCATCTAAGACAGATTAAGTATTCCAGTCCACAAGCACAGTACAAACAACAGAATTACTTACATTACCTATATAAAAGGGATGGAGGGAGCAAACTTTAAAGCAAGGGCATAACAGTTACGACTTGTGAATTGTAGTATCAAAACACCACAAACTATAGTTAGTAGAAATGTCTTCTGTATCTCACAGTTACGACAAGCTGTATGTATATGTGTTCAACATACCAGCAGAATAAAAAAGTCATTTATTCAGTGTCTCCAAACCCCGTCATTTCACAGTTAATGCCCTTAGTTTTTAAAAATTCAGAAATATCCAAAACATCTATTCAAAGTAACTGCAAAGAATAAAAACCTGCAATTTAAAGCAAGTTAAATAAAAGTACAATGAGATTCGAGAAATATGCACAAAGACTGAGGGTATCTGGTGAATCAAGATTTTTCTTAAGCTTAACTGAAAGAAAACATGATCATTTGGTAGGATTGTTCCACCTCTAACAGACCTGTTCCTATATAATTGTGGGCCTTAATATGTAACATTTGGATGTCTGCCTTACATGTGGTTGTCACTACACTAAGAATTTACTTAATCTCACTGAAATACTTCAGGATAGATAAAGCAGTTGAAAAAGTCAATTTTTACTTTCCTATTCTCTTTTCCTGTAGAATTCTAACAGCTACTCAGTTTCAGTCTTTTTTTGAAGAAGCAAAAAACCACACTTTTAGGACATCCCCTTTTCCTCCCAGTTGTTGTCACATTGTGTGAAAGATGGAAATTTAGAGAAAGTTAAGTGTATGACACCAAATGTCTTCTAGTTTGTGCTACCATGAAGCTAGAGACAGGCAGTCTGAGAAAAGCAGAAAAGCTTCGCCGCTATGCTGAGTTTCTGTGCAGCTCAAGGCAGCCTCCATTAAAGAAAACCTCCCGCAGAAGAACTGTAAAGACTGACGAATTTCAGATAACATACTGTCATACAGACCTAATTTACACATCAGGAAAATGCTCAAACACTACAATGACATGCAAAGAAAAAAGTCCGAAGTAAGAGACAGCTGTGGCACATTACACAAGGGATTTTGTATTTAGCTTATAATTTTTTTAAAGTTTCTATCTCGTGAATTAGGAAAATGCTCTGTAGTACAAGGTGTCAAAAGCAGAGTATAGCTTCTTGCTGTGATCTGCTTGCCCTGTGAAAAACTAAAGGCTCAGATGGGGATGCAGGGGAAGGAGAAAGGAGCCAAGATGGGCATTACTGTGTGGCCCAAATACATTTTCAAATCCTATTTACTAAGGACAGGCTTCTCCACATCTATTTCAGGGTGCTTTCTGCCTTACACATCTAAGGAATAAACATGCTGCTGCTAAAGATCAAAGAGCAAAAGACAAGCTTGGAATATTGCTTCCTGCCAGCCTTGCAAGTACACAGGCTTGTCCTAATTAGAGTTAGAAAATGTACTTCCCTATGTGATAAGGATTTAGTTTGTGGTGTAAGTCCAATTTACTATTAAACTGACACTACTTTTCATCTTGGCTGTAAGGTCATGCAGAAAAATAGAATCAAGAAATAATATAGACCATTGAAGGTCCACAGAAGATCCTCCTAAGTAGTATTGTTTAGTGATTAACTACAGATTATTTTTTTAATATTACAGAGGGCAGCAAGCTGCAACAACATGAAACCACAACGGAAGAAAATTCTGAATTCAAATCTAGTCTTAACTAATCAGAGAAGTTTGCCTTGGTTTTGTTTGTTTTTTAAACAAGAAACCCTCAACAAAACAAAGCAAACAAACCAACTAGGAAGGGCACTTTAATAAGAACAAATACAAGGCCTTCAATTTAGACCAGAATAACCAACTGGAAGGGGGAAAACTTACTAGGTTATAGTTGTGCAGGAAAGACCCGGAGCCTAAGTTGGAACAGAAGGTGAATATGCCGAAAGCTACCATCCATACCAGGATGCATGAACAGATGTAAAGCTTTGAAAGCACGTAAATCTTTCTTATTACTTACTACTGTTTGGAATGCAGCTGGAGTACTCTATCCAATTTTGAATACTGCCCTTCAAATCCAGTCAAACATATTAACTAATTGGAATGAATTCAGAGAAGAAGATCAAGAATGATCTGAGTTTAAATGCCAAATATACAAGAAAGGATTAAAGTAACTGGGAATGTCCAAATTAAAAAAAGAAGAGACACAATTAAAAAGAACACATGCCCTACAAAACAAAGCATAAGAACCACTTTTAAGGCAAACAGAAATAAGCTGTTTCCCAAACCATTTATAGTTGTGAATGGAAATGGCTTCAAATTATAGTAGAGGATTCAAGTACATTATTGTCCTTACAGCTGCAAAGCTTTTTTTAATGTACATACAAATAAGTTATGGGGGGAGATTGCTCTGCCTCCAACACTGGAGGTTTTCAAAAAAGATTGTACAAACATCTCTCAAATTCCCACACCCATATAGTTGACCCTATACAGATAAATATTCTTGCTTGTTTTCCAATTGCTCATTACTGTAATTCAAAACAAGCCACTTAAGACTGGAAAATTCAACATATTTCAAAATTTGCCATGGAGAGTTCTTCTGCATTATTATTAGTAGTATATCCTCAGATCCTCGAGGCATGCTAATACTTACAGCTTCCCAGAAACAATTATATAAGAAAATTAATTATAATAATAGATGGGTGAAGAAACGTAAGTTGCTTCCAGTTATACTAACTACACAACAGAAAAGTGAAAATCTAGCTGCTGATTTATGAAACATAGTATGTGACAGAGCAAGAGGAACACGAGCACTGAGACAAACGTGTTGTCTGATGGATTTCCTCACCAGCTCTCCCAAAAGAAAAGTTTAGATTAGTGCCACGGGGACACAACTCACACTAGAAATGGAACCTTCACCCGCCAGTTGTGCAGAAATCAAGTGTTATTGCTCCTCAAAGCTAACACCCCTTATTCTCCCCTATCTTCCTTGCATATTTCCAAAACACTTCCTGAAGCAAACAAAATAAAAGATTTATGACGATGAAGCAGGGCTAGTTTAAAGATAAACCTAGGTTTTGCTGCAGGGGCCTGAGACCTCCGGACTGTCACCAACACTCTCCACACACGTAAATCCAGTTAGAAACCTCAAAGCAGCAGCGAAGCAGCCTTTGCGGACAGCAGACTGTGCACACACACAGCCTCGCACACAGAGACACCGACTCGCACACAGACAAACACAGACACCCTGCGGGCGCTCTCCCGCGGCGCACAGCGGGTCCCTGCCGAGCCCCGGGCCCGCCCGGCCCCGCCGGGTCCCCCAGCGCGCAGTGACCCCCCGGCCCGGCCCCCCGCGCTGCGCTGGCGGCCGCAATGCCGCGCCGGGGCCGCACCTGGGCCAGGGCCCCTGGCCTGCCGGCCGAGGGAAGGGCGGGGAGCGGAGGCGGAGAAGGGAGCGACCTGGAGAAGCAACCACCGCACCTTCACCGTCCTCATCCCTCCCGGGGTTGCTGCCACCTAAACTCTTCCCCCCGGATGGCACCGGGACAACGGGAAACCCGGTCCGGAGCTTTCCGTTCCCCCCCGCAATCCGGCCCCGCCTGCCGGCGCCGGGGCCCGGGGCTGGGGCGGGGGAAGCGCCCCGGGCTTCACTTCTGCCCAGGCAGAAAATGTCCCCTGGCTCTGCTGATGAATTATTAGTTGGTGGTGACACGTTATTCTCTACAAATAAGACACATTTCCTATTTCAGCATCCTAAAAGCCAGGAACAAATTCCCGGTGGTTGTGGGGTTGCAACTAAAGCAGAGTTATACCCTGTTGTGTGGTAAACATCATAAGGCCAAACCTAGTGGCCTAAAAGGCTTGGAAATGGTGCCTGGAAGGGAAGAGGGGAAAAGGCACTTTCCAGGAAATCTAAAAGCACCTTCAATAACATATGCACACAAACATATCCGTTTTGCATCCTCTGCAGGAGAGAGGGATCAAACAAGCGCAGGAGCTCATAGGCTGAAGGACAGACGGATGACCTGCAGTAGTCAGAGCTCCCTTGGTGGCTGCAGGTTACCTCCAAGATTGGCAGGCAAAGGGCTGAAGATATCCCGAAAATGACAGAAACTGTTTACAGTTGGTCCAGAAGAGGCCACAAAAAGGGTCTAGGGTCTGATGTATCTCTCCTGTGAGGTCAGAGAGCTGGCGTTCAGCCTGGAGAAAAGAAAGCTCTAGGGAGACCGTATAGCAGCCTCCTTGTGCTTAAAGGAGGCTTATAAGACTTTCCAAGGCCCATAGTGGCAGGACAAGAAGCAACAGTTTTAAACTGGAAGATGGTAGATTTAGATCAGACATAAGGAATAAATATTTTTACAAATGAGGGTGGTAATACTGGAACAGGTTGCCCAGAAGCTGTGGATGACCCATCCCTGGAAGTGTTCAAGGCCAGGTTGGATGGGGCTTTAAGCAACTTGGTCTAACGAAAGATATCCCTGTCCACAGCAAGGGGTTGGACTAGATAGGCTTTAAAGGTCCCTGCCAACCCAAATCTCCCTGTGATTCTGTGATTCTGCCAGCCAGCTCACTCATACTTTTCTTTTAGCTGTCCTTTTATAGAGATTCCATCTGACTCCTAGCAGGAGGAACAGAAGAGGGCAAAACAGACAAAAAATCAAAGATGTAAATCAGTAAAGTCTCCAGTCTCCAGTAACTTGTATTATCTTTCTGCTGTGTGTGTTAAACCCTCTCTTCCAGTCCTACTGAGAATTCAAGAGGGAATCATGAATGCTAAGCAAACTCCAAGCAACTACTATATATATTAAAAAATAATTGCTTACTCATTAATTTTGTATACATCAATGAAAGAGAAGTTGGCAGCATTTACAGGCCTAAGGATAAGATACTTTTTCAGGCCCTGGTATCTCTGCAGAACTGTCCTTGAGATGTAATTTTTTGATATCTAGAAACAAATGTCTGTAAATCACTACTTCTTAGCTTAGGAATGTTAGAAATCAACTCAGTCTTATCACCAGTGGTGTGGATAACATTTGACCTAGTTTGCAACACATAAGCCAAGTTTTAACACTACAGAACAAAATTTATTTCCATTTAACCTTAAATGCTCAAGCAAGCATCTTAGATAGCATTGATCATTACTTTAATAGCACACAGCCATGTATTAACCTCACTGAAAGACAGCCAAGTCTTGTGGTTAAAATGGGGATTGGAATAATAATGGCCAGTCTTCGCGAGCGAAGATTTGGGAAAGGTCATTGACCCTTCGAGCCTGCGCAGTGGATTTTTTTTTTTTTTTTTTAGGTGAGACACAGCTTGTGCTGAACTGAGCCCACCCTTTAATCCTGAGGTTCATCTGCCGGGGCCAAGCAAAGCTTGGACAGTGGCAGTGAGGGTCTCAGAACGTAGGTTTGTTTAGAGTGACCTTCTCTTAGATGGATTGCTTTACAGGGCTGACGAGCTCCATCTGCCCGGCTTGGACAGTGGCAGTGAGGGTCTCAGAACGTAGGTTTGTTTAGAGTGACCTTCTCTTAGATAGATTGCTTTACAGGGCTGACGAGCTCCATCTGCCCGGGGGGCTGGGAATTGAACCCGGGTCGCAGCGGTGAGAGTCCTGCACCCTAACCACTAGACCACTAAAGGCCCCAGGGGGATTGGAATAGCCTAGAGCTGAAAGCTTGGAAACACTATATGACCACAGGCAAGCCACTTAACCTTCTAGATGTCAATCCCCCAACTATAAAAAGTGCATAATATTTGACACATACATCTCATAAAGCTATTCAGAAATATTGTTAATCATTTAACAATTGTAGATCACCTGATTATACATCTTTTTAAAACATATCTTTCATTTTAAAATATATCTAGCCTTAGCAACCTGTTCATGAAACCTCTGGTCTGAAGCAAGTACACAAGCAGCTGAGTTCTGCTTGCATCCAATAAAAAACTAATGTAGCAGATCCACAGCTAGTGTAGAGTGTTGTAGCTCTCTTGATTTTAATAAAGTTCTAGCAATGCATAACAGGTGAGGATCTTATTGTGTATTTCTGGAAGTTAGCAGAAAGTGTGATCCAAAAATACTTAATTCAGTCTTAGCCCAATTATAACAAAACAGGTGAATTCATTCAATATGTTTTTGTAGAAAACACTGCAAACACACAGAATAGATTATATGCTTTTATGATGCCAAAGAACATGTTAAAGAGGCAGGGTTTGTAGGAAATAATGTTGCAATTTTGTAACAACAATGCAAGACCTCCTAAGACAGGAAAGCAGATTTTTTAAAAAAAAATCTAAACTTGTTTCAGTCATTCATTTATGCCGCCTTCTCATATCTTGGTTTTGCATATGTATTTTTGTAATCTGACTGTGCTTATTATCCTATCCCACTTCAGCAAGTCATTGGGATTTACTCAGTACCCTTTCCACCATCTGGATGTCCTGCTAAACTGTAGGTAGATATGTGCTAGGATCTTGATGACCTGTTAATCTAGGTACTATGGATACAGGCCATTCTTGTAACCGTTCTCTAGCTGTTTTTTATTTCTGACGCTTCCACACTCAGATGTTGCCATTCATTCTCCATGCACACTTGTAATAATAGTTTTCTACATGCTGAGAATATGTAGAATATGAAGAATGAGCATGCTTTGGTATTATCCTTGTTTTACTTAGCTAGATTAGGTTATATTTAACAAATAATAAACCAAGAGCATGCTGAAACAATCTGCATGATCATTGTCTAACGTGGCACTTGAGAGGTTAAACAGAATTAGCCTAAGTGATAGCTGTAGTGTTACATGGAAAATATTTTTTTATTATTATTTTTTCTCCAAAGAAAATAAAATGTAAAAAATAAACAATAAAAGAATTCCTAAACTTTCCTCAAAGAAAAATTCCACAATACAATAGTTTCACTAGTTAGTACTGAATTTCAAGATTCTAAAATGCTGCGTTGTTCCTTCATTTGTGAAAGAAAACGTTATATAAGACTATAAGCTATGTAATTCTTTTACCTTATTATTCTAAATGCATATTGCTCCACTTCTTGTAGAAGGCATGCTGTCTGGAGCAGGTATTAGCATCTTGGTTTTAATGTTAACAAAAAATGAATGATTACTCTTTTTGTGGGTATATGCTATAGTATATTGATATGGAAAACCAGATCTCATTACAATATATTTCAATTCTCTTTAATATTTAGGAAGTATAGGATTTTGCCTTAAAATATTGTGAATATGCCTCTGCAAGCTGATAGTTGGCAATTCAATTACATGAGTTGCAGGGACAGTCTGTGAGTTTTAACTGCAACACATTATTAATAATCTTGTGTCTGCTTTTGTAAGGTGCTCCCTACTTTAAACATGTGCTGTACATGCAATGTGTTACAGTGATTTCCATGGTGTTATTTTTATTGTATTATAGGCTAGATAGACACATAACACAATATATAACTTGCTAATGTGTCAATTAATGCCACCTCACGGCTGCAGTAAATTGCAAAGACTTTTAAAACTGTGAATATGCATTTCATGTTAGTCTTAGGTTCCTTCCTTTTTCTCTTGTCCTATTTTCTGCTTTGTTTTTTTTTCCTAAATAGTCCTTCTTAAAGCCCTCTGGTGCATAACAATGAATTGCCTTGAGGGGAGATGGTCGTTTAATGAATCTCAGAAATATGTATTCTACACGTGCAAGCATCATATTTTATTTGATAAAGCACTGTGTGGCAAGAGCCCCATAAAGTGTCTCTGTATGCTCAAAACAGAAAACAACTTTTAATGATGTTTTTGAGAAAAATAAACTTTATTCAAGAAGACTTACAAAAAGCTAGGGAAAAAAAAGAGAATTTTTTAAAAAGTGGTGAAATTTTGAAGGCAAGACATTTAGTTCTATGAAATTTAAGAATAATTATATTTCAATACCTTTAAGATACGGTTGTGCCTAACTGCACTTTCGTTAACTTCTTAGCTTTGTCTAGTAACATATTTTGCTTTGTTTAGCAGTATATTTCAAAATAATTTTCTTATCTGGTATAATGCATTTGAAACAGATACAGAAACCAGTGTATTTAGATGTTCATTTTTAAAGTAAAAACCCCACAAATTGCTGGCTCACAGCTCTTAATCTCTAGAATCCCTTAAGAATCCCTGCTTTGAAATTAGTTGCAGGCTCTATCAATTATATCTGTTTAAATGGGCAAACTTAATTACTACAGAAGAGCAATTGATTTTTGAATTATCACTGATTGCACAGGGGGTATCTCAATGGGAAGACAGGTACATGCACGCTTTCAAATGGAATCAATGTATTAATTAATCTACAGATTGACATACTCCATAGAAAGTATCCCTTCTCTTCATCTCCTTCCTGTAGATTCATTTGTTTCAATTTAAATGAAATTTCTGGTGATATAGAAATGAAAAATTCAAATGCAATATAAAATTCCACATGCTGTGTATAATATGTGAGTTTTGTGTTTCTGACTTTGCATATCCAGTGCCATTTGCTAGCTTAGGTGGCCTCTGAGAGATAAAGTATTCCTTACAAC